ATGGAATAGAAAGGAAAGGGGGTTCAGGACAAAATTGTCAAATTCATAATCAGTTGTGTCTCCACAGCCATAATTGACGATCCTATTTCAGTAATTTGCACCGACCTCTCTAAAATAAGGACCGTGCAATGGTTTGGTCTAGGGCAGATCAGATCAAACTTATCATAATCGTGTTTTTTTCGTGAAAAATATCTTAGTATCAAGGATCAGACCATTATTGTATTTGGTCCATTTCGTCCGGTACAAATATCAATTTGGTTCATGTTTTCTTCAATAATTATAAAAATTTATAGAACCGAGGATCGAACCGCATTATACTCGATTCGGTACGAACTGGTCCAGTCCAAATACAAGTTTGGTCAGGTCCGATCTGATACAGACCGGACCATTGCACACCCCTATATAAAATTGTCCACCAGACAGAGTAGTGGAAATTAGAGTGTATTAAAATTTGGATTTTGCTACGGTGACATGACATGGACTTTTCGGTCGACCTAATCCAACATGCGGTCGACCGGACTGACTATTTCATGTATGTGAGGTTCCGAGACGCGGTCGACCTCTTACATAATATGGTACAGTACTTCTACAACAACATCGTCTATGAGCACAATGCAAATGGATCCATTCACACATTCAAATCCTATGTGAATGGGGTGGCGATGCGCATCAGCAAGAATGTGTTGGCGCAAGTACTAGAGGCTCCAAACGAGGGGAAGAGAATCCATTCTTACGGTGCTTGGAATGAAACGCATTTCACGAGAGCCAAGAAAATCCAGACGGTATGTGGTCTTGATGAAGAGGAAGATGCTCAGGGTCGCAATAGGCCAACGAGTAACCACCTGACAGTTCAAGCCAGAGTTCTTCACCACATGCTTTCCTACAACATTCTGCCAAAGGGTGGACATCGGGAGACAGTCACCTACTTCGACATGGAGCTCCTCACCAACCTACTGTTAAACGAGAAGGTGAACTTGCCATACTTGATCTTTAACCACATGCTTACTGCTGCAGAGAGTTCAAACAGGAATCTTCCCTATGGGATGATCCTCACTGTGCTATTTGAGCATTTTAATGTGAATTTAAGTGAAGAGGTGGGGTTAAGAATCACAAGGCATGAGTTCTATATTGTTTCATCTCTGAAAAAGATGAGCTTTGAGCTGCGTAATGGTGAGTATGTCAGAATAAACAATGCTCATGGTGCCCATGGTGGTGATGATGATGATAATGAGGATGATGATGGTGATGAAGGAGCCGGAGACGAGCCAATGGCGGAGGCACAAAGTTCAACTCCACCGATCACCTTAGAGCGTGTGTGGGAGCGCATGGATGGCATGTACGAGTACATGGGCCAGATGTCCACCCAGATGACTGGCATGTACGACTATATGGGGCAAATGACCGCCCAGATGAGCACAATGCAGGTGACCATGAATGAGATACGAGATGAGTGGCGATCTTTCAGCGGAAGATACATGCATCCCACCACATCCGACCACCATCATGCTAGCACCACCAATGAAGAAAATGTGGATGAGGGAGAGAGGGGAGATGAGTAGGAGCGCAGAGATTTTAGATTGTGTATTTTTATTGTTAAGTGGTCAAAACGATTGTTGATTGTTATTCTGTTGTTTTTTTAGTTTTATTTTTATGTGTGAACAATTATGATTTCTATTTTATTGTATTTCTTGTTAGTTTGTTTAGTTGTTATGCTATGAATTGATGAGTCCTTGTTATTATTATTTATGACTATTTATGATGGTTTGAAACATAATTTATACGAGCAAAAGAACCACAAAAATCGACATACATAAGCAAAAAAGACACGGGGCATAGGTTGACTTTCTTGTATTCGGTCGACCTCGTATCGGATTAGGTCGACCTCGAAACCAACACTTGATCTTCATTTTACGTCAAATGATTGGACACTTTGATAGAACATTTATCTTCTATCTGGTCGACCTCTTTCCTTAATCGGTCGACCATTTTGTTAATGACTGCCATCAAGTGGTCGACCTATATACCTTAGGTGGTCGACCATGTTGTTTCTGACGCCAACGAAATGGCCGACCGAGGTTTTATTCTGGTCGACCAAAAATAACAACGTAAACTAAGTGCGGTCGACCAGGTGGTCGTTGAGGTCGACCGCAATGCTTTCTCGTGATGCCCAAATTAGTCAATTCGGTCGACCGCCTTCAGCAATAGGTCGACCGAAAAGTCCATGTCACGGTGACATGCATGTCATAGTAGGCATACCCTTAAAATTTTGAAGTACAAAATAATGATAGGTAAGCCTGATCAAAATCTTCACAATATCGAAACAAAATCAAAGCAACTTAAATATTATTTTTTCTTCAATGAATTGATACGTATATTATCAAAGGATGTGATGTATACAATCCAAATCTTTTTTTTTTTTAGAAACATAATCCAAATCTAAATTAATGGAAAATATCAAGAAAAATAGAAAAACGATCTAGAAAGAAAGAACCGTATGGGAGGTTACCACCTCGTACCGACAAAAGAAAAATAATGTCATAGAACTAAAACCTGCTGCTTGTTGATCTCAGCCAAAACAAGATAGCAATAAAACATACTGTTAGTCTCCACTACAAAATCTAGACCAACAGTTTGATTCACTTTGTATGAATTAACCCAAAACATTCATGCATTTTCATATTGTTTGACTAATCTAATACACATCAATTATGAGGTAACATGTATATTACACAACACTTGCTAGAAATCACCCATTTGTGTCCCTCTTAAGTTATTAATAAAACAATATCACAGAGGATAGACACATTATCTAGCATATAACATGACTTCAAACTCGTGACCGTTCGAATTGAAAGCGAGCAAGTACTTTGTCATTTGATCACTCCATTTTTTACCAATATTGATCAAACTAGCTATTACGAATTCAATAAAAAAAAAATAGTCCTTGATATATGATAATAGTGATCTGAACCAAATCTGATTTGATGGTACTTGAAACATGCACCACACAATTCCAATATTTGTCAAACACTCCCGTTGTAAGTTTCCCCAAGTTCCCATTTGCCCTTAAATTCTGGCTCAAAGTTTTCTGTACGTAATAGAAGGAACTGATGACTTGGGTCGTGGTAAAGTCAACCTTGCATAGCCTCTCCAAGTCATTAAAATTTCCACCGGTCAATTCTGCACCAATCTCTCTGGTCTCCTCCTCAGCTTAATTACAAGACAAAGAACACACACAGCAACCCTTCACGTATGCAATGATCCTGCGGATCCTTATCTCGTTTATTTGGGCGGCCGGCCGGCGGGGCCATCATCAATATATAAATAAAAATATAATCATCAAAACAGGTCATCCTTAATTAATTCTTCTCTTGCGCTCTAATTAATCAAAGAAAGATTAACATCATCTACGTACTCGATCCATCGTAATTTAATCATATCCAAATATCATATTGCCCCTCTTCTTCCAATGTGATGCATATGCTACTAACATACATGATTTCAAATTATTATAGTCTTAGTCTCACCTACGTTCCTTCTGTTTCCACTACTATATAAATTCTTCAAAGGAAAATGCAATAATCATTGGCCCGTTTTGTTATTAACAGGAAGTTACTGTTTTGGCCCCTGAGTACTTGACCGTAGAGGCTTACTATAATAATAAAATACTGTTCCTAGCTACCTTTGCTCATTGGAAAGTTGCTATAATTTGTTATCAAACACACTCATTCCGAATTGGAGGGAAAAAAATCAATAAAGATTCTATTCTCATTATTTCGAGTAATTATGTTGGCCAAAAATTATAAAAATATTCAGAAAGTAACATTTTTTTTTTTTTGCATTAGCAGGAGGCCAAGGCCAGGAAAACAGAAAAAGGGGGTAACAGGGGATTACATATATGAGGTGGGACGAGCAATCACACGGCGCTCAGTAGTCGTTCCCATCACATCGTCTCTAAGAATCGGAACTAGATCAGTGGGAGGATCCGCAAGCTCATGTATACCGTAGGGATAGACAAAATTGTGCTTCGAGAGCCAGTCCGCGGCTCTATTCCCTTCTCGATATGTATGGGCAATACTCTATTCCCTTCTCGGAAAGTGACATCTTTCGCAATCAACAATTGCCGCACAAAATTATTGAAGAACAAAAACAATTACATAACATCACACTACTTAACTTTCTCCTACTCACAATAGTTAACCTATAGAGAAGATGCACCATTAATTAAATTATGTGACCCAACGTTCAAAATTCTTGCTCAGCAAAAGAAACATGCTGGCAACACAAAGAGTGCATTGCCCTACATTGTGCGATTTAGTCAAGTTTGTACATCACTACACAGCCTCCTCCTCCTCTTTGGTACATTGAATATGAATCAAATGTATGACGATCAAACAGTTAATGTTTTTTGTTGACACACATCAACTTTACCCAACTGTTTTTCTTCTCTTTTGCTTTTCTTCTTTTCTCCGGACGAAACTCATTAAGCAAGGCGTTGAAATCGGTCATTATACACACATCTCATCATTATTGCTATTAGCCGCCTAGAAAATGACCCTTCCCTCATAATACCAACCTTCCATTCCATTCTATTTATTACATCATAAAAACCACCTTTACCATTTTGACTCTTACCAAAATCAATCAATGTGACATCCTTAATTATAACAGCCACCACTAAGTTCCCAACCAATTCAGATAAACACTAAACCAGATCAACCCAAAGACCATTTCTTCCTTCCTTCAAACCCCTCATGTACTTAGATTTGTCGTTATCCAATTTGCACGGGTCTCCAAGCCACCGTTGACACTCTGCGTTTAATATTACCAAGTCAGAAGTCAGAGAGAGAGAGAGAGAGAGAGAGAGAGACGCTCTTACTACTGGTGGTTGTGGTCAGTCAGTGTGCCAAAGAGAAATTAAGAACAACGACCAGCAGGAAGGAAGAAAGAGGCATTCGTCAGTCAAGCAGCCATCGGTGTGTGAATCAAAATGCATTTGCCGCAATTTAACTCACAAGCATAATAATAACATTCATCTCATCATCAGCAGCAGCATCAGTCAAGGAAAAACAAAAGCAACCTTCCTCCTTCCATATTCAATACAAAAATCAATTGAATACCACCCAACAAAACTGAGGTCTTACTTCCAGCAAAAAAAAAGAAGAAAAAATAAATAACAAGCTATCTTCTTTCTACTTCTTCTTCATTCATCCCCCATGGTAGCTAGCTAGTCAAAGAAAGGGAAAAGAGAGAAGAACCCAAAAAAAAAAAAAAGGAAGGAAAAACACACAACAACCACTATTTCCGAATCCCCCCCACTTCCCCCCAACTTCTACCAGCATCACGAACACCCATCTTAAATGACCAACATACTGACAATTACGAACGAACCCACAAAATATTTACAGCTGGGTTTTTCACTTTTTTACTCCTCCCTCGATCCGCCCTATTGATGGAGCTGTAGCTTTGCTTTCCAAGTCATGACGCAGCTGGCTGGTTAGGTTGAGACTGCTGCTGCTGTTTAGACATGTGAAGCTGCTGCACAAAAGGATGCATATTCCTACTACCATTACTGTTGCTGCTGCCATTACTTCCACCTCCACCGCCAGGTTTACCCAAAGACAATGCTGTTGACGAGTTATTGGTGCCGCTTGTGGCAGCAGCAGCCACGGTGGTGATTGGGCTGGCGGAGGTGGAGGTTGGAGCAGCGGTGGAAGGGGCGGTGGAGGTGTTGGTGGTGGTGGTGGCGACGCGCTCGCAAGAAGGGCACATGGTGAGGGTGGTGGCAGGGAGCTGCATGTAGAAAGGCTGGGAAGTTTTCAGGGCTCTTAATTCCTGCAGTTCCTTTTGCAACCTCCTGTTCTCTTCTGTCAGTGTCTCGCAGCACCTCTTTAAATACTCACAATCCACCTCTGTTTGTTTCAGCTTTGTCCTGTTTGTTTTTTTCGTATATATTGAAATAAAATAAGAAAAAGAATTGCAATGAGAACCAAACCAATTATACACATATTCCACGATGTATTTGTATATATCAACCCATAACGAAACAAAATACCATTACCCTCCAAAAGAGGGGAACACGGAAGAGAACAAACAAACGTACAACAATCAATCATATCTCTGCATTGCACCACAAATCAGTGATATCCGATGGATAATACATCCCTCCCCACGACTCCCACACACAAAAGCAAAAAGAAAATCAAATTGGACCCATCTCTCTCTTCCTAAGAGATAATGCAAATTGATGGACAACCGATGATGATAAAATTATTATTACCTGGCCCTTCTGTTTTGAAACCAAACTTCCACCTGCCTCGGCCGTAGATTCAACTGCTTTGCCAGCGCTACCTTTTGCTTCTGCAGATACAAAGGAGAAAGAATTTTCTTTTTAAGTTACAGATAGTAAATTGATTGAACCCATCTGGGTTGACCTTCATGGGAAGGGGAAAGATTGGAGCTTTGAGACTTTTTATTTTCACTTACGGGGTTGAGGGTGTTGTGTTCTTTGAAGCTCTCTTCGAGAAAAGCCGATTGGTCTTTAGAAAGTCGGAGTTTCTTCCGGGTGGATCCGTTCTCGTCATCATCGCTGGCTCTGGAACCCGCTCGTTCAGCTTCAGCTGCCTCCAAATCTCGCTTCCCTCGACCAAAAGCACCACTCCCTATCCCGAAATCCATCTGAAACGACGAGCCGCCGCTGTTGGGTGACGAGAGCGCCGCCGCGTCGTCCCCTTCCTCCCCCGACAAACGGTTCACATCGAGCCGCCTCCCTTGTATCGACCCATCCATCGCCCCATGCTCGGACGAAGTCACTGCGGCATTTCACCGAACACCATGAGCACAGAAGAAGCAAAGCCACCCAAGATCCTCAAAATAAAAGCAGTGGAATTAAAAATCAATACCCAGACGACTTACGAGCTGGGTCGGCAGGAATAAGCCACGGGAAGCGAGCCTCAGACGGCGCCGCCGCCGCCGCCGCGGCGGCGGGTCTTCTGAGAACAGGGGAGAAAGGCAGGAGATCGAGCTGCAGAGGAGTGTGGTTGTCTGTCGATGACGAAGCATTCACCCTTCTCCGGTCGTCCCCTCGTCGATCGACGGTCTCACTCGTAGCTGGAGAAGCGGCAATAGCCGAACTACTAGCGGCAGCTCCTCCTCCTCCCCCGCCGGCGCCCAAGCCCATGCAGAAGCCCAAGTGGTGATCTTTGGTGGAGATCTTGGGTGGGGTTTTGTCGAGGAACTTGAATGGTTTGGAGGCGTCTCCTAAGCTCAGAGCCAGCTCCATTTTTTTCTTCTCTCTCTGGAGAGGGGAGAAGGTAGAGAGAAGATGGAGAAGAAAGGGAAAAAGGGGGAAACCTGAGAGAAAGCGAAGAAGCCTATCCAGCGTATTTAAATGCCGAGGAGGAAAGCAACAAAATAAGGAAATTGAATAAAATAAAATAAAATTTTGGTGGAAAATTTAACAATAATATAATGATAATGATGTGTGATCATTAATAATGATAATCCGGTTTGGGTTTCGCTTCTGGTTTCACAGACGACACAGCCCACACACTTTGCCTCCCCTTCCTTTTCTATTTTCTCTTATTTATAATATTTTTTGTATTTATTTATTTCATATTTAATTATGTGATTTTCTATCTATAATTATTAATTTGATTATTTGTAATAATTATAAGAACTTATTTATACATATTTTGGATTGGGGGAGGTATGTGTGGGTGGAGTAAAAGATTGACCGATAAATCGAGGTTGACAATCACACGTGAATCTATATAAATATGCACAGAGGTCCACACGAGATTTGCATACTCTTTTTCTCTTTTCCTTTTTGCCTTCTGTTTCTAACTTGTGTGACCAGTCAGTGGAATGTATCTCTCACCGTCAAAAGAAAACAGGGGTTTAACTTTTAACTATCTGTTATTTTTTACTTTTAAGTATTTTCCGCTTTAATTTAGGTGTTTTTAATTAGTGTTAAATGATGATAAAGTAGGGGGTAATTGGCTCATTTATTTGGACTAAAGTTATGAGTACTCGGGAAAAGAGTAAGATATTTTCAAAGGAGGTTATGTACTTATGTTGTGTTCATGAAGAAGTAGGGGTTTTTTTTTTGGGAAACAGAAAATTAAGGGGTTAATGACAAAAAAATATTATTAAATTTAATAAATTAACCGGTAGTTTTCTTTAAAAAGCATGCTTCTGATTTTTTTTTATCATTATGAGTTGAAAATATCTCAGTCAAGTTTGTTTTACTAAAGTCCATTCAAAACTATACGACACATTTGGTATGTCAGAAAGAAGCGATCAACGTTGTGAGTTTATTAACTTGTCCCTATCTGCCTTTTTTAACCGGAAACGTTAAAGTTACGGGTTATCCGGATGTAAGGTTGTCAAAAAAGGCGACATGTGCTATGGAGAGAAATGTAAATAGATGGACTAGTAAAATGAGCGGGATTTTAAGGAATAAGGAGTGAAGTTGATGATATTATTGTACGAATGAGTGTTTATGGTCATAAATAGTTATATAAGGATTTCGCAAACTCACGAAAACTCATACAAAGATGTTTAAGACTACAGGACCAAAAAGTATAATATAATAACAATGATTATAAAGAAGTATGAATACAAAATCAAGGTCCAAAACTTGAGTTATTATACGTAATTTTGAGCAAAAAGGCTTAGCCATTCATAAAAAAAACCCTGAAATCATATTGTTGAACGAGATGCATAAACCCATACGTTAAGAGCACACTAGTTCTGAACTATATATAACCCTCAAATTCAGTTAGTATTATGCAAAATTGGCTACCAAAGTAAAAAGCGGTCAATCAAATCAAGAATGTCAACATACCTTGGATTGCGGGCCTTCGTCTTCGAGACCACAAGAAAGATCACGACCATGAAGTAGGGCCATGATCTCCCTTCTCGAGCTGTCCAATGCGACGTCGTTCCAAGATAACGATCTCACTCTAATGATCAAAATTGCGATCTCTTGCTTCATGACCTCGAACTTGGCCACATTTCCTTAACTCTATAAATATGTGTCTCCTCCCTTGTGTAGAGTGACTTTTGCCCCTTTATTCATGTCTCTCCCCCCCCCCCCCCCCCCCTCCTCATCCTTTCATGGGATAGTCCCTCAAGGTACTTTGAGGCTTAGTCCCCCAAACCCTAACCTAGGGTATGATATGCAGCTGGATATATTTGGTTTGATTTATGGATGATTATGAACCTATTTAGCTATGTATATTTGATGCTTGTTATTTCTACACATCAACTAGTGTGGGATTTTCTGTACCCAATATGACCTAGTTGCAACTTAGGTGGTAAGGGATTTATCATCCTCTTTATTGTGATCTATGGATGAATTGTGTTTGCCCAAGGTCTTCTTGCTCCGTCTATTATTGTTATTATTATTATTATTATTATTATTATTATTATTATTATTATTATGTTTTGGATTTGTCTATCCATGTGTTATCTATGATTTCCTAGTTAGGGTTTGATCTAGGAAATGTGTGGAATGAGAGGTCTTGGCATGATTGGTTTAGATGGTAAATCTATGAGTTTAGTATGTTGGATGAGGTGATCATACCCATGCCTATTAGAAGTCCACCTAGGCAATGATAGGGCATCGAGTGAGTGACCATCGACTTAACGGCCTAGTGTGTAGATGGGTAGAACTCATTTAGAGGAGATAGGTTATATCCTTGCATTATGAAGCTAGCTTAAGTGACATTGAGCTAGTGGATCAGTGTATGAGGGGGATTGGTTGCATGACCATTGAGTCAATCCCCATATTAGCGATCTCTGCACCTCGTTTGCCATTGATCGTCCTTCTATCCTTTGCATGTTATCTCTAGTGGTTAGGGCGAGGGTGGCACCCGAAGTACCTCTTCTCTCCTATCGTCCTCCTATTCATTACTCTCCCACTGTCCACTTGCTAAGTAGTAGGTCAACTAGATAACAACCGAGCCTATGTAGCCTAAGATACCGCGACCTGTGGACTATGAACGAGCCACTTTACTACATCCCTAGCATTTTTATAATTGGCATTGTTATTTGTTAGGATAGAAGTGAGTGCGCATCAAATAATTTTAAAGCTTTCGCAACAATGGTGCATTACTGTATTGATTTACTACTATTATGAGTTATTAGAAACTACCCTTGTGTAGTAGGAATCATCATTAGGCGTGTGTGGAGTGGAAGTACAACCCTCTGGGATCGAATGGTGATGATGCTTGATGCTTGAATATCCCCAATACCATAAGACCATCGTTATGGCTCAAGAGGCCCACACTTAATGATGTTATATCCTTACTTCCAATGCAGTCAAAAGCGCGATTTTACCTAGAAGCGGAAAAGGGTTAAAATCATAAAGCGTAGAATCAAAGCGTAAAAGCATAAGTTTTTTACGCATACTGAAAAAATAACTAAAAATGTATTAAGTAGGACATATGCTATGCAAAATATGAATGCACATAATTTAGATAAGTCAATAAATACATGCGATTCATGCCTAAAGTAGAACAACTTATTGCATCTTAATAATAAGTTTGTAAACATAAATTTTAACAACAAGCCACTTTTCCCACTATGCTAATGAATTTGGGAAAAGCCTAATGGGTGAATTAGATTACTCTATCGAAGTTAAGAATGCATCCAAGTACCTTATATGTATCTTTTAATCTCAAATGTATCATATTGTTGGCGATTTACTTTTAAAATATACTTTTTATAATTGATTTCATGAAAAGAATACTCATTTAGTGAACTAAAAGCGTAAAAACGTAAAGCGTTTTGGAGAACTAGAAGCGTAAAACCGTAAGCTTTTAAGCTTTAAAGCGCAATTTAGTCCGTTTTATACACTTAAGTTTTTATATGGAAACAAAAGCGTTTTGGTGACCTAAAAGCGTAAAATCGTAAGTTTTTAAGTTTTAAAGCGCGATTTTGACTGCATTGCTTACTTCCATGCTCCTCATTAATTAGTTGGTGGTAAGAAGCGAAAGCGTGCATTATCTAGTTAAATTTCTATCGCATGTTGCAAAAGCTATGGTAGGTTGGCCTTAGTGGAAAAGATACGATGATACTATAGGATCGATGCATATATTCATATTATCAATGAGAAAGCAAGCATGTTTATCTTGGTGATACTTCCTAAGCAATTTCATCTTACTTGCTTTAATCTCTCTTACTTTTGCTTACTCTTCGTTTTTCTTTATGGCTCGCAATACTTAGATAAACTCAACCCATCCTTTTTGCTTTATATTATTCAATTCCCAACACCATACACACCTAGTTTTGAGTTGTTATCATCGAAATACCTTGTGGAATACAACCCTGGGAATCTCTGGGATTATCACTTGTTTACCACATCACTATGTTGTGAGGACTTGCACCAATGTTTAAGAACAATAAACATACCAGGTTGTTTGACATGACACATACAACTCGAGGAGATCGTTCCTTCATGTGCGCGGCAAGCAGATTCTCTTAGACACGAAAGGACATAACCTTGATTGTAACCAGATAAAATGTCTAAGGACTCTAGGGTGAACTTGCATGTGCCAAGCCTATCTCTTCTTCTTTCCTCCACTCGCTCAGTAGTATAGGTTTTTCACCTATGATCCTACTTTCTTTTAATTTTTGTTTTGAAAAACCGAAGGCACCTCAACCTCCTACATTCACTTTCTTTCCTCATAGAATTCGTCCCTCGTCACACAAGTGAGTGCTTGTAATTGACCCTATGGAATACAATTCCGGCCTTTGTGCCAGGTAAATTTGGTAAGCATGCTACAAACAACATCATTGGCGCAACTCTTTCTGGTTATTAAAGGAAAGAGAAAAAGAGAAGGAAGAGTGAAAGAGGAAGGGAGCTCTCCCAATTCAAGTCTTCTTCTACTTCTCCATAGTTATTTTCCCCTCTCTTTAATGGAGTAGTCCTCCAAGATATTAGGGATTAAAATCCCCAAACCCTAGAATTAGATTTTGAAAGTAAATGTGATTGTGTTACCGTTTGTGTATGGATTTGTTTGTTTCAGTGATTATATGTTTCATTTATGCTTGATTATGTTGGGGACTTGTCTCACCAACTCTTCCTATCAACCTACAGTTGAGGCTCATAACAAGGTGGGAGTTTTAGGTTTGACTGGATTTGAGTACCTTAAGACTAATTAAAGGTAGATGAATGATTTTATGGTTCATTTTAGTGGACAAGGTGACCGTACCCCTGTTGGAGGAATGCCTTCTTAAGAAAATTCTAGTGATGATGCAAGAGTCCTAGATTTGGGTAGTTGGTATTGTCGAGGATCGAGTTTATAAATTTAAAGCTTGATGCACGATGCATCAATTTCTTCTACAAAGTAGAAACCATGCGACCATAGGT